CTCTTTTACTTTCGATATGCAATATATCAACAAAGGGATATATGCTACTTTAGATCAAGTAGTCAATTCCTCGTTCCACCAGATTTCCTGGTTGATGAATATATTAATAAATAAACTTAATTAGTATTGAAATTACTGAAACGACAGAATCCGGTGCCATGATGTCTGAATACAAGATTTGGAATTATCACTTTCTCTTTTTGCAGTGTATCTTGATATTGCTCGTTTAATAAAGTAAAACTGCGGGAGACAGACTGTGGCGACATATCATTTATATACATTACATTAATATCCGTAATATTTCCATTTACTCTCCGTATTACATGCTGAAAACTTGCTCCTTTAACAAAATCAGTTATTTTTATGAAACGTAAAATATTCTGGGAAGAGCGAGAAAATTGAAATCAATCCCATGGATTGCTTTTTATTGTTGAAATGAATAAAAACTCATTTCACACAAGTTTAAATTTGGCCTATATTTATAGCAGTGGTAGGAAATATAGACGGTATTATCACCCGGAAAATGTGGTACTTATTTTCGACTTGCCATTTACATTAAAATGGTGAAGGTATTTACGCCAAAGTTTCTGGTGCTGCTGCATAAATTTTTATGCCGTAAAGAAGTGTACAAGTAAATATTGAAATAGTGCTACTTCTTTCTTGTCACAACAATTTTCACCCTCTTTTTGAAAATGCAAATTTTCATGGCAGCTGATATTTAAATCAATCATAGGTGAATAAACACGAAAAAATCAAATTTATTGATGTGAGAGTTCAAATACCACCTGTTGGTTTTCTGGTAGTGGGGCAGTTAGACAACAAGGTATCATCGTTTTTGCTCCTCTCACAAAATATTTTTGAACAAAGCTGGACGGCCACCACTATTAACATCTGCCGCAATTTTGTTTCCCCGTCGTCCAAATTTATAACCTTTCAATTTCAAAAATTTTCGTCGTTTGGATACAGGTCTTACATCAGTCTCTCTCAACTGACTACATTGTTTCTCCAAACATTCCTTGCTCCTCTTCTCCTTTACTTCCTATTTTATCCACGAAATATTTAAATTTAAAATACATATCTCATTTTTACTTTTGAAGTGATTAATTACTTTATGATTTTATTCAAAAGAATTGCCCAAATAGAATGGGAAATTTTGGAATTAAAATGATACTTGGAAAACAAAGTCAATAGGCATGAAATTTCCAGTCGACAGCTTTTTAGCCAACAACCTGAAGATTCCGACTGTAGTCAAGTATTACCAACAAATTTCAAAAAGTCGGAAACATAGTTTAACAGAAATCATAGTTTCTTGTGCTTAATATTGCTTATGTCATTTTCCATGAATTAAAGATCTGGCTTTTGAGAAATTGACAGTAATCTGAAATGGAGTTAGAAAACTTTTGGTCTACCCGCTCCCTTCCTTTGGCAAAAACCCCATCCTCAATTCTCCTATAAATGCAGTAGCACGATGCTGTCTGTCAGCAATAACTAAATAGGTATTGTAACTTATTATCTGGTACTAATAATGGGAGAATAAGGAAATGAGAAGGGGAGGGAAAAGAAAAGGAGGGGGAATGAAGCAGCTGCCAAGCAAGCATTATTGTATATTGAAAAATATCCCATTACCCCATCCCCTCAATCCTTAAACAAACAGGTGCAAAATCGGCACTCTCCCGTCCCTTCTTCAAGTAACAGTCCCTTCTCCAACTCCCCTTCATTGCTCTTTCTACACTTTTGTAAATCTTTTATTACCGTATACCGAAACGGTTGGTGCTTTCGATAGCATATAGTGTTAGTTTGAACCAACATCCGTTGATCGGCTAGTAATGGGTTAATCAGCTCGTTTCCTTTGTCTCCTTCAAATGTCACCATTTCAGCCATCTGAGCACCTTTATCTCTGTCTAGTTGGGATGCTTCTGTTAGAAACTTACACAAAAAACAATTTCGCGCTTTTCTACTATATCACAGTTAGAATTTTCTTATTACACCCGGTTGTGAGTGAAGTGGTAGATTAGCGGAAAAAGATGTCTGATTACGGTCTAATACTTAAATTAGGCGAATTTTGCCTTCATTATTCCGCTGATACATAAAGTTTTTTCCCTTTTAAGTAAGGATGTTTTTTTCCTGATTACTTTTGCTGATTCAGTGCTTTTACAGGAGCGGAATCCTGGAATCGTATAATTCCTCACTTGCTGAATTTAGGAGTATTACCTATGATTCTCAGTTTGCAGATTACATGACATCATGGTGCTTCACTTTATGTTTTGAAGACGGACTAACTAATGGAAAGGCATTAACTTATATTTGGCAAAATTATGTTCCTTAACGGTGTGCGTAAATCAGTGAATATGGCGGAACGTACAGCAGGGTAGTGGCAGAGAGCAGCGAAGATGTTGTACTGAACTTTCAGAGCTTCATGTGATATTACAAATGGACTTGAATTTATTTGTTATAATTAAACTTTGTTAGCCGTATAATGCATTGTTGTTATCAGTGCTGATCTTGATTATGAAGGCAACTTTGTTGTTTAGGCAGCTTTGCCACTAACATACTGGTAGTGGATGGTAACGATAGTACTATTTTGTAAGAATAAGTAATATATATCGATATTCTGCAGATAATGATATTTTGATAGGTTGGACATGTTTCAGCAGTCTTTGACTTCTCCATTTATGTCTTATGGATCTAAAAGTGCTTGGACTGTTTGTCGCGGTATCCCATATATGATCTTAAAAGTTGCTATGCAGATATGATGTTGGTCACCGAGTTTTTGCATATGAAAAGTGGGAAAATTGAATAGGAAAAAAGAGAAATGTGAAACAAACGAACTTCTGTATGGGTCATATTTGGGTAACCTTCTGTCAGTTGTACACATTGGTAGTGACCGTTAAAGAAGCTTGTTAACCCCTAAAATAGAGCTCACGACCTTCATTTACCTCCTTCTTTCCGGAGAAGAGACCATCTGTTCCATAGTTGTGTCCTCCTCCTGTTCTGTTCTGATTCTCCTTCTTTAGAGTTGCAGCAGACTTCCGTCCTCAGCATCACTTCCCTAATTGCCACTAAATATCTTATCCTCTTTCGTTTCCTTGTTCGATTATAGCCCTTTGTATCTGTTGTTGACCGTGGGATTATACAGATGAGCACCTGTATTGTTGCTCAAACATCTCTCCTTTTCACCCCTCCTACAACCCCCCAGAAGATTTACCTTCAATAATTACCATTTGGCCCTCATTTGCTATAACATCTTATATGACACCTTCACAGTTCCTGAAAATTATCTGCACTGATGAACATGACTGTTCCTTTTCAATAAAAATTTCAATTTTCAATTTAATCACCCAGTTTTAAAGTAGCTTTTAAAAAGTGACCAGTTTACAATTAATTTAAAAACTTCTTTGGAAAATGTATGTATTAAACCCTCATTGTACTTGGTAGCATTACATGAGAGGAACTGATGTTTATTCTCCTTTGATGATATTCTGCACACCTGAAATTATTTTGGGTATGGATCATCTTCATTGCCATGGGATAATTGTAATAGAAAAAGTTGTGTGTAGCATAAAATATAATTTGTATGAGTGTTTTTCAGTGAAGAATTCGCAGTTTCTAAAAGAATCATGGTGTCACTAATTTGGATCACCCTAAACTATCAGCACCGAAACCATAAGGCCAAGGAATTAATTGCTGACCAGTTGGTAAAGCTGTAAAAGTTTCTGCTAGTAGGTGTAGGAAATATTTTGGAAGGAAGATAAGGCTGCTGCTAAAGGATGATTTGAAGCATAGCAATAGCATTCAATGGGGAAGGAAGGAGGAAGAAATGAAGGGCAGCAGGACAGATGGGTTCAAACTAATCCATTTTGGCTGGCCTGTCTCTGGCGCTACTATACCTCATCGCTCTTATCCAATTACTTAATGTCTCAATCCTCCTGTTCGGTCTGCTGGAGCGCCTTACCTTCTACTCCACCTATCGTTAAATCATCACCTCGCACCCATCCTTTGATCCTTTTCCACTGCTTCACTAAAACGGGAAAGTCATGTCCATGTTCTCGATGCTGCAATTTTCCTATCTCTGCAATACATGCTTCTTTTTTCTTTACACAAGCTTTACATTTCATCATCGTAAATCTAACTGCCCCTGTTTAATCTCGACTTGTGGTAGGAAACGGAACACTTTATCAAATAGCCGGTCTTGTTAAACTTGAGGGAAGTTCACAAGTGTTATTATTTTATAGTTTTGAGATATTATTTGTCCGGATTCATCATCGAAATAATTCCAACCACCAGAGAAGAATCATTTGAAAAAGTTTGTTGAATTAGGACATATAATCATGGATCGACTTTGATATACACTATCACAAAAGCAAAAAGAAAAACATTTGGCAAGAATTTTTGTTTTTTGACGAGCTTTTCCAGATTAAGCGTTATATAACCAATTGTAGTAAGCGTTTAACATTGGCATGTTTTAGTTTTTCAACTGCTGCGCGAAAAGCTATTATAAAATATTTTAAGTGTAGGAAAAGAGTATGATCATTCTTAAGCACCGGTCCTTATAAATCCCTGTTCTTTTCCTGGGTAATCACTGATTGTACGTAAACATAGCTTCTATTCCTGTTTATTTCTCCTCATCCTAAGCTTTCACTCCATATTTAGCAAAACTGAACGTATTAGTAATTCTTTTTAATGGAGGCCTGCTAAACTCAAGTGGTCGCAGCTAAAGATACACTGTTGTTAAAATCATTGATTTATTTCACAAATTGAGTTTAGTACAAAAAGTGTCGAGCTATAAGTCACCATTTGCTTAGCGTCATAAAATGTTTGGTAATAAAATCGAATAGTATATTGTTTCATATCTTTATCAAATTAAATTTTATTTTCAATTCGGTAGTGATTTTCAAAAAATCAGTACCAAGGCCATTTGGCCAATCTTTTCAATTGTTTCTTAGTTGTAAAGCGGTCGCATGTCGTGCACATCCTGGGTACCTCTTTAGAAAAAGGTTAACGATGTTGTCCGTTTCAAATCATCCTTTGATTAGGTTATTAAATATTTGGACGTTCTATTGCCACTATCTTGTCTGGAGTTTTTAAAGCGTGCATACTCCACTCTTTCATACTGCTTAGCTATTTCTATCTGTAGACTCTCTGTGCAATAGCCATAAAACAGCTCTGTAAGGAAACCTAATCACTAATTAATATGATAATGGCAATAAATTTCTATCAGTCAAATGGTTTTTTAGTAGTTAAATCTGTCAATAAGTTATTCAACTTGGATAAATTTGATATGTTTATAAAAATAATTCGCGCTAAAGGGAATTGTTTGAACTATAAACAAAAATAATTTTACTTCGTAGAACAGTGAAAAAAAATGTGTGGGAACAGCTCAGAACTTTTGTGCAAATTGGTTTAAACGACCACAGCAAACTTCTGATCAAACGAAGCTGTTCTTCCCTCTCATTTACATGCTTTTGTATTTTTGAGTCATTTGGTGGAAATTTTTTTATAAACTTCGCAATAACGTAGAATATTGAGCATGTATTCCGATTGAAGTTGCACCTTTGTGGATATTACCCATATTTATTTGCTTATTTGCATATTTGCTTCAGATCCTGTCCTCCAAAATTACTTTAATCATCTTCGTCATTATCATTCATCGTTATCATCATCATTATCATTCGTCATTCATCTCTATCATCTAAAGCGATATCAACTTTTTTTTTTGATTTCCAACATTGTGGACATTTATGATTATAAAATTCATCAAGTACATGAATAAGTTCAATTAGTTGCTTGAATTTTGCATTTAGTTAATGAGATTATATAGCAATCGCTAGAGGAGAAAGTGAATTTTTTTTTGTTCACCTGTGTCGTTAATAAATAATACGGAGAGATAGTTACACGAGCGGGAGTGAGATCAATTTCTCAGGTGCTGCTGAAATAAGATCATGTTTGACAGTTGTTTTCTCAATCCATTACATCCTTTGTGCGACGAATTTTTCGAAACATTATAAGCAGAACACCTGTGTATGTTTGTGTAGATGCTTCCTCCTTCCCTTTCATCCCTAATGAAAATGCTTCTTATTAACGTCGCAGCTTACTACCTTCTGTTTGCTCTCCATCTTCTCTCTCATAGGTCTACTGTTTGTATTCATTTTTAGGTGTTATTTCAATACTAGATTCATCGGAGCCACAGAAGGCACTGAATTCGCATGCTAATATGAAGTGCACGTCGGGCACGTGTCTTTTAAAGTAATTGTACGATTATTTGGTAGAAAAATTTTTTTGAACATTGAGAAAATGCAAAAAGTACAGGACAAAACCAGTGATTGGACTAAGCGGAATGATTTGGTATTGTGTGCTAGTAACAAGAGGTCAATATATTAGTAATTGACATTTTTTGTCATATCTCTTTATAAATTATGCTTATTGATTCGGTTTGTTCTTACATCACTGAAGGATAATCGTTCCGGAGATCCGCAGTTTTCTTTTTCACTGTCGAGGTGATCGCTTTCTATTCACTCTGGTCGATTTGTATGATTTTGAGCTTTCGTATATTATATGAATTTAACCACAGTTTAATTACAGTATTATATCTGTGGTATGTGGTCGTAGAGGAAGAACTGTGGACCACTATTAGCAGTAAAAAGGAGTAGGAAGATGCTGGGAGTTTTGGATACGGCGAAGGACTCCACAGTAGCAGGGACATCCAGTGCCGTTTACGTTGGTGAGCGTCTTAAAGCCACTGTACAATGTTCCGATGAAGCACTACGAAAATTTAAGTGCTCAGAATGTCCGAAAGCATTTAAATTCAAGCATCATCTCAAGGAGCACATCCGAATTCACAGTGGTGAAAAGCCCTTCCAGGTTTGCACTTCACAGTTCCTCTCAAAACTTTTCTTTTATCATTTCCGAGCTGTTTAAACACTTTCCACATAGAGATAATCCTTCTTTCTTTATAAGTAGTACTCGAACATTTGATTACAATGAGACTTCCATTTTTGCATTCATCATTTTATTACACAATTTGCTGAAGTGTTTTACCAAAAGTTTTATGTTCTATATTGATACCTCTTCATATTTTTTCCTGTAATAGATTTTTTTGTTTATGTTAAGAAAAAACACTCCATCCTTTGTGGTATGTGTGGATTTATATTAATGCATATGCTTAGTGCGCCTGCATCAATATATCTGGTACTTTCTTCGCTGAAACCAGTTGACCAGTTCTTCCGAAAATATGCTGCTCGTTTCTTCTTTTGATATTTTGAGAAAAAATTATGTCCATCTAAAATCTCTTTCTCCTACAACATCACATTATTTATTTAGAGGCAAATTATTTCAGGAATTTAGGGCAGAGGAAAACCGGAAAGTTCTATCGTGACAGTTGTTTCGTAATCCAGTAACTGAATTAGTTAGCTTAAGCTTTTATATTACCTTATAAATTCGAAAATTATTTAGATGAACTCATTTAATTAATGTGTATGGAAAGGGAGGTGGAATTGAATCAGTCAGAATTGAATAGCGAAGTGTTATATATTTTAAATCATATAGATTATAAACAAAAAGTTGATTCAATGAGACATCAAATTTATGATCCAAAGAAAATATAATAACTGGGTGGGTAAGTGTAGCACACGTAAGGCGGTGAAAGTTTACGTCATTAATTCAAACTGCCGCTTTCTTCTTTAATTTTTCCCTCTCCGTAAGTATTTCAAATGTAGTTAAGAATCCATTTTAGAAGGTATGAAACAAGATAGCGAATTCTTTTGCATTCTAAAAACTGTAGTTTTGGTATTTAGTGAAAAATTAACATTGGATAATATATGTTTATATTGTGCATCCAGTATCAATGATGCTTATAACGAAGTATCAAATTGCAGTGCCAATTATCTGATCTCTTTTGCAAACTCTGAGCATTAAATTAATTATGGAAATTGTGCTTTTCGATAACATTTATGGTGCAAGTTTTAGATTTTTATAAATTGATAAAACTTCACAGAATCAGACAACTGACAGAAGTCTAGAAATATTGGGTTTTTGGATATCTTCAGGAGAAATCAACAATATCAATAGAAATGAAGAGTAGTAATAGTAGTAGTAATGGTGTTAATAATAAAAGTGTAATAGAATATATGGCGAGATACACACAAATCTAGGGATATATATGGTTCTTTGAAATTGAGCATATGCAATATGTAATACATTATTAGTTGTGTTATCACGTGTTATGTGTTGTTGTTTTTCTTAACCATCTCTGATCAGACTTAGGTTCATATATATTATTAGACAAATACTGCAGATATATATATATACATGTCTGACATTTACGCAGAAAAAAATTGATTTTAAGTGTAAAGATATTATTCTGTAATAGGTAGTTTTTAAATCAGTCATTTTCAGTGATGCCTAACAAGTGCATTTCAGGTGGTTCCATGGTTTTATTTTCTAGGTTTCATCCTCGTAGTCATGAAAAGTGTTTTTGAGACATGGACCACCACATAATACATGTACAAGATGATCTCCACTTGAAAAATATTTAACATGAGAATAATGTTATATAATAATGTAACAAATTTGATTATTTTATTTGATATGATTATTTTATTCTACTTAAAAAAGCGTTATAGATTAGAAGTTTCATACTAATTTCTAGCGCAGTTTTTGGTGGGAGAAATTATGAAACGCCTTTTCTTGATTTCATTAATGTGATCATAATCTATTATTATACGAGTTGCTTTTTCTGTAGACGCTTTTTTTGTTGACATTCGGTCGATCGCACGGCGAATTTTGTATTGAAAATAACAAATATAAACTTTACTTGTTTTTATCCCCAAAACATGACTTTCCAAGCCGTTTCTTATTGCTGTTGCTGATCATTTTAAATCCTTTTAAAGGAGATGTTCCCCCATTTGGTGTTGACGATGTGATGATGGAGGGCGCAAAGTATCCTGCGAACAAACAGGTTATAAAAGTATATATATATATGTCTGCTTTGGGAGGTGAAAAAAGGAACACCTGTTCGGGATCAGTGAAGCGCACCACGCGCTCCCGTTAAAACTTCCCGACTTTTCTCTTTTCCCTCTACCCGTATTCCCCTCCTCCCCTTCCCCCAACTCTCCCTTCCTCTCTCCCTATACATAGAAATATATACCTTTTTTCCCTGCCCTATAAAAATTTTCCAAAAATTTATAAATCGTCCTATCTTTTCCATTGATAAATATACACATTCTCATGTGTAGTTATTTCAAAATCTTTGGTATTCATCAGTTTTATATTCATTTTTAAGTCATAGAATTTATGGATTGCATTGATTTCATTTTGGTTAGCATCGTATATGGCGGGTATTATGTCTTTCTGGTACTTTTCGCACTTCATGAATATTTTTGTTGGCATTAAATATATTGATTATTAACCTTTTAATAAAATTCCAAGGAATGCTGATACTGTGTACTGTTTTTTTCTGTACGGACATGTAAATATCCAGTAATGGATTGAGTGTAGAGATGACATTGATATTCAATGGGATTCAGGAATATTGGAGTCTGATCAGGATTCTTGTTACCGTATAACTGCTGCATCATTCAACCATTTCTATTGCTTAAACAGCAATTATTATGTGCATAACAAAGACATAGTAACATGTTGAGCAGGTGTGTGTCTCCGTATGTTCTTCGCGATTTTTGCATTCACGCATTCTGTGCACAACCTATTCCACTTACCGTACTCTTGCAGTCTTTTTTGTATGGCATAATTATTTGTTCGAGATAATGCTGATCGTTGTGATGATTCGATATACAAAGTTCGTACGTTATAGTTATCTCATTGCATGGTTTTTTTTTGAATTTTAATTCCTTGCTTTTGAATGTTTTAACACTGACAGTTGGGAAACTTGGCCATGAAAAGTTTTGAAAGGAAGTTAGGACACTAAATAGGTGGAACTTTGAAGCAGAATTTTTTTTAATCTAGGTAGTTTATGTATTAGAATCATATTTCATCGACCCTATGGATTGTCTCTTGCGTAAAGTCAGCTGATACTTGCGGTGATTGAGGAAGTAAATACTGGCAGATAGTTTGAAATTTTCAAAAATATGGTAACAGTTATCTAAATAGTAAGGAGATGTGATTGTTCATTTCATTGTATCCTCTCCTTCATTGCCGTTTATTTTACTAGTATCAATATTCATTGTGTTACTTGGCAACATTTATTTTGCGAAGAAGCTGATCTTTTTGAAAGAAATCCTAACATTTTTTTAATAAATTAAAATTGTTTCATGCTTTCTGATAGAACTATTTCGAAACTAGAACTTTATACATGCAAAATATTTGGATGTCATGCTCAATTCCAAAATTTACCTAGATAACTTATCTCAGCGCACGAGTGGAAATAGTTTAGTATTATCGAAACATGATGAATTATATTTTCAACTGAGATGAATAAACAATATCGATCGTTGACCAGTCGTAATTAAGCTATTCGAAATTAATTAGCCAGAAATGGTATTAACCGGAATGGTTTATCTGCAAAACATGCGAAGTCTCGTGCATTATACAGCATTCGTTTTTAGTTGCGCAGTTATCCGTTAATGAGATGAATAAATAAAAGTTTTGGTATCTCTCAGTCTTATGTTCTAAGGCTTAATTTGCCGTTTCTGCCTCACTGAATCATTTTTCCAGGTATGATTCGCATATGCATTGATTCCACTTCATCAATTTCATAAAATTTTCCATAGCTTCATGCCATTCTTTTTGTTTACTTTATTACAGTTCTTGTTTATTAGGTCGTTTTTTCTACGCACATATTTTTCTATAAAGTCTTAATGATCTACCGAGTGACGGCATGGAATGTTTACGTAGGTCCAAGGCAGGAATGTACTTGTGCAAATTGCTGGGATATCACCCACTTTGCTTATCGAAAAAATTTACACTTCATTTTATTCGAGTGATATAAAAGCTTTCATTTTGTTCCTCTAATTACCTATATTTGTATCAGAACACGGAGACATTTATATAATTTGTCATTACAATACCAAGAAAATATGAGTAATCAATCATTTTACCGCCCTCTTCGTGTTTGAAATTGAAATAAAATATACGAAATCTTTTTTTCATTTCATTTCACATTTTTATTCCGCTGATGCGTCGTGTTTTGCCGCATCGTTTATCGCAGCTTTTTTTTGCGATATTGTCATGATTTGCTGCAAATATTTGATGGTGATAGAAACCATTTTGATACTATTTATATTGCCATAACGATATACTTACCAGTCTTTATTTCTTCTTTTAACTTCATAATCCTTAATCATATCTGGCATTGTTATGTGATTTGAGAAAGCAAGTGTGTTTAGGCACGAACAATGAAATAGGCTTAAGTTGAGAATTTGTTGGTAGTTCCTATTGTTCTGAATATGTAAGCATCATGTAGTTCTATCAGTAACATATTTTCACGTTATGTACTTGTAATTTTTCTTTAAAATGTTCATTACAGTGCCCGCACTGTCAGAAGCGATTTTCACATTCGGGTTCGTATTCATCCCATATGAGTAGCAAGAAATGTACAGCAGCTGCAACACAAGCTTCATCAACTGCATTCGAGTTTGGTGATCAAATGATACTCTATCGAGCACTTTTGTTGCAGTTCCAGACAGCGCATAATTTTGCATACTCAAATATCGGTCCTTATACGGCCTTGTTACAACAACAGTTTTTACAGGTATTGCTTCTTTTCAAAAAGAATTTAAATTTTGATTCCCCATCACTTAGTATAAACTTTTTAGTCTTGCAAAATTAAATTAAATTTCCGTCAATAGAAAATTAGATATGTGTCAATAGGAAAATTTATTTATTTAAGTTTGGAGAAGAGAGTCAACATTTTAGTGAAATGTTACAAAAAGTGTTTTTGCTGTCGTTCTATGTATCTTCCTCACTTTGTCTTCATTTATAACCGCTTCTCAGGGTTTGATACATGTAAGATTACTATACAACTAGCATAGCTAGGTGTTTGGAAGATCCTTGCTTTGTACAGTTGAAGTGCAAATGATGAAGGAATGGAGAAAATGAAGCAGGAAATATCTGAGAAGAGCAGAGGAGAGGGATGGAAGAGTGTATTCTGTGCCATTAAATGTGTACTCTTTAGTATATAATATCACAAAAAATAGCATTAAGGAGCCTTAATCACACAGGTGTTTCGAACACCGTTCAAGAACGACAAATTGTATCGCTTTATGGCTCTCTTCCTCTCCCTTCCTCTTTCCGGCACATATTACAGTCTCTACAATTCTTTTTACAACACTACAATGTTAGAACTACAGCATACATTTACAGTATTCATCAGGGCAAATCAGCATTATCCTTACATGCACTTAAATACTAATAGTATTACTGATTTTCTCCAGGTTTTATTCTCTGAATTTCCTCTTCTTCATTTTTAATGTTGTTGATATATACATAGTCAATTCATCAATATTTTTTGTCTAATTACTCCAATTTTATTCAAAGAAAAAATCTTTTTAAAAAATTGTTATTTCAAGGCAGCGAGTAGCACTGCATCGTCAACCTCACCACCGGCATTACTGGCCAACTATTGGGCTTGTCATTTAAACAGTACTAATTGCACCATAGAAGGAACAGTTTCTGCAAACGCATCTAGTAAGAACGGTATTGAAAATGGTATCGAAAATGGCACGCTCTTGAAGAGTTCATGTGTTAAAAGTGAAAAAACTAATCAGGATGATGTTGCAAACCATGATCTAGAAAGGTCGCGTTCTTCTGGTGAGAGCGCTGAACAACAAGAAGTGCAAAGTGGATCTGATTTACCAAGTTCGTGTATTGTTGGTAATGGTACTACTTGGAAGCCCTTACGATCCCGTTCATTTCTTACCGATGCTCAAGTTGCTATACTCCATGCTCATTTCAAACGTAATCCATTTCCATCAAAGTATGAACTTTCCGCTGTTGCTGAACAAATTGGAGTCAATAAAAGAGTAGTACAGGTTTGTCAGTTTTAGTTTGTGCCGGTTTTTTTATTGCAAACTAATTGGTTATTATCTGCTTATTGTGCTATAAGACACGAAAATCGAACTGTATAAGAACTGAAAGTAAAATAAAAATTACAAATTCATTATCTCTAAACTATAATGAAAAGTCCGACATTAGAGGTTCATTACTTGTTTTTGAAGATTTAACGTTTATGTTCTCTGCTAAGCATGCAATGAAGAGAAGGCCATGGACATTGGTTTCATGAATATTTCCTCTTTTAAGAAATTCTGTTTAAATTGTAAGTATGAAAAAAATTGAAAGTAGTCACGTGAACATGATAAAACCACACTTATGTGTTTAACTTGAATAACTTTTGTCTGTTTTTAATTTTTTCGTATCTCTACAAATTTTCTCATTAATTAGTAGTATTGTAATATTTGCAGCGTCGAAGAGTGAATTTTATCCATGATGTTAGCAAAAGAGAAGTGTTACGTCACCTGCTCTTCTACTTCACTATCTATCGTTCAATTCCAGAATACCTTTTCTGTTGCTGCTTCTTGGATAAAATCTGATGATAGGGCATCTCTTCACATTTACCTTTAATCGAAATTTGTTTTGTTCATTCTGTTGTTTTCTACAGGTATGGTTTCAAAATACTCGAGCGAAGGAACGACGAAGTAATCGGTTAAGTGTAGCTTGTGAACGATACTCACGTTCCATGTGGAATAATGCGATATCATTTCAAAGTGCTGCTACAGCAGTAGCAGCTGCTAATGATCCATTAAGTTTGATGGCTGCTTGGGCACAACAGTGCACCGGTCTTGTTAACGACGGCCTCTCGGTAAAGAATTGTTAGTTTATATCACATAATATCCTTGAACTGTATGGTTTTATTTTTGCTATCATATATATATATATAATATTTTACTTCTTTGTATGGTGCGTGAGGAATTTGAGATAACTTTCATTTCATATGTCTTAAATATAATTATTATTTTAGATATATATTTGTATTTAACTGTATAAATAAATGACGCTTTATTTCAAATATATTTTTAATATAACACATTTATGATTCAGGATGAGCAGACAGCGAAAAGTGATTTAGTGTCAAATGAACCATCTGATGCTGCTCGTGATTTACCACTCGATTTATCAATTAAGGATGAAACAGCAGCTATAGTAACAGCAGTCCCAACTGAAAAAACATCTGTTTTTGCAGTCGAAGGAAATGGAGGAAGACAAGACTTTAATCAGGACGATTGCTGGTCTGCTAGCCGTCTCATTGGTCTGGTTTTTATTGATTTTTTTTCTTATAAAATTTGATTAGAAAAGCACTCAAAAGAGCGTAAAGTCTGGTAACGAATTGTATTCAAATTCTCTCTAAATAATTCAGGATTTATTCCAAAAGGAAGCGAAACGATACGTGGAGCGCTATTGCAAGCTGCGAAGGGTCGTTCAGAGACTCCACCGACGGTACTTTCTTCGACATCCAGATCCCATTCGGAAGGTGAATCGAATTTAGAAGCTGGCTTATTGGATGATAATTCAGCTGCTGCATTGTCATCGAGTATTTGGCCCAACAGTGTGTTCATGTCGCAGTATTCAATGTTGGGTATTAACGGTATAGCAGGTCTTCAGAAAGTTTTGGAGGTATGTATTTCTTCTTTTCTGTAAGTGATAGCATTTTTCTAAGAGGTCATTTGTAATGCGAAATGGGTTTTGGTTTATAATACCGAATGAATCGTTTAGATATGCCGCTTACATTATTTCCAGATTAACAGGTGCTAGGTAGTATGAATCATTATTTCATGTTACTCGGTGAATTTTTTTCGTCAGATTGTTTTAAAGAAATCTGAAGCTGCCAAATTTAAGCAAAGTGACGATAATGATGACAACGCGTCAGACACTTCATCGGGTGAGAAGCGCCATCGTTTAAACTGGAAATCACATCGAACTGATGAAGAAGGTCTCTATGCGTGCGATCAGTGCGATAAAATGTTCGGAAAGCAGAGTTCGTTGGCAAGACACAAATATGAACATTCTGGTTTGTTAATAAAAATTAAATGAAATAAGAATATAAACTTGAATAAATTATCGGATATTTAGTTGTTACCAAGAAACATTGATTTGTGATTGGAACATTTGTGAAACCATGTCGTATCTGTTGATTCAATTCAGATTTATTTTCACAACTTGAATCATAATTGTGATTTGTTAAGCAACAAATATTTTTTGGACTGTAAGTGGGGAAATCACACTAATTTGAATTATTCGTTAATTGAAAGTGAATTTTTTTGAAGGACAACGTCCCTACAAATGTGATGTATGCGAGAAGGCATTCAAGCACAAACACCATCTTACAGAACACAAAAGATTACATTCGGGTGAAAAACCTTTCCAGGTGAGCTTTTTTGTTTGGAATGATTATTTTTCTTTCGAAATATCGCTAATATTTTAGATTGCTTAATATCGGTTTTCTTTAGTAGAAATGAATTCAGGTTTCGACTGAAAATCATTTTCGGGTTAATACACTTTCGTAGGATATTTTTCCTTTATTTAATCAAACTTTTGTGAATGAAAGTTCAGTGACTGATTCCAGTAATATTTAAGCGAGACTAGTAATTTTCAGTGTGACAAGTGTCTGAAGCGATTTAGCCATTCGGGCAGCTATTCGCAGCATATGAATCACCGTTATTCATATTGCAAGCCTTATAGAGACTAATGGATTGATCCAGTGAATTTATACACTTTTTACTGCAGGAGTATGTAGCTCACTTCTAATTGGTGAGCTTTTAAGATGTTATGGGATTCAACAGCTTTTTCAAATATATTTTATTCATGATTTTTCAAAGAGAATGGATCCGTTCGAAAATTTCGATATTTTTGAAATTTTTAGTTGTGATTTGTGTGAGCTGTGAAGTTGTTAATTAATATACGGTGCTAGAAATATAGAATTGTCCTTATTTCGCTTAGTTCTGTTCGTACTTTTTGGTACAAAATCATTCACTATTTAAGTCCAGTACTGATTTTCAATAATAACGTCCTCCTTGACTTAGAAATTTGGTGATTATTAAAATTCGATTTCAATTTGAAAGAATCCATATATTCTCTGCCTTTTGATTGTCAAATCCAAAATCATGGCCAATATTGCTTGATCTGAAATAGGTTTTATTTGTGTGGAAATGAAATGTCCATCACAAATTTAATGTGAAGTATTTAGTGAATGTAGATTTATCATGTTTTCTATTGTCATAATTTTCAATAACAAAACAAAAGGTTTGTATCAGTAATCTTAATCTGAAAGTTAACCATTTCTTGTCGCTGTCGTTGTGCAATTGTTGCTTTTTGGTCATGATGCTTCGATCTCCACCTCCGGTGCTTCGATGTAAAAAAGATTTCAATTTTTTTGTGCAGTTCTTACATACCTCACTTGATTATTTGATGAGAAGAACATAGATGCCAATTTAAAATTAATCTAGTTGTTCAACAAATCTGCTGATGAATTCCTGTTTATAGTCTGAAAAAAATTCGTCGAACTTGTCCTGGGGATCCGGAACAAGTTGGATTTGTTTTTCTGACATTCAGCGTTTTCACTAAATTTCCGTTCAGCCTATAAAAAGCAAAATCAAAATTTATCTCTGAACTGCGCGCCAACTCATTTATTCAGCTATCCATTTTTTGGAAAGCTTAAAATCTAACTTGTAGCAACTTCGTTCTTCGTTTTCTAGTCTTACAGTTTTCTGTTAATTTTTCTCAAAACTTATATCTTCTAAATTCCTCCAATTTTATTTTTCATGCTTTTCAAGTTGATTTTTTGTTTCAGTATGCATTGCTTGAATTACTACCAACTTTTTTGTAGCACAGTTATCGTTCTTATTTTTACAGAATTTACAGGAACGATCATAAAAAGTCAGATGAGACTAGTGAAAGATTGAAACTTTCTAATTTCACTGTTGAAATGTGTTCTCTGAAGTGGAACTTTCATTAATTGTAATGTATTTATTGAAATGTTTTCTTTAATCTTCCCACATTAACTGTTGAAGAAGTGAGAACCTTTCATTTTTTACTGTTTTGATCGTGCTAGGCCTTTTTATGTGTTTTTCGCTGAGGTAAACTTTGAATAGGCTATACGATGGTGAATGAATGGCTTATATTGTCAGATATATAATTTAAGCGTTTATTATATCACGTTTTGTTCCTCCGGGGAACCTGTAGAGATAGTACATGGTTTTATTTAAAATCTTGAAGTTCAAGATAAGCTTTAAATCCGTAAATGGATTAAATAAAAATGGTAAAAGTGATTCATGCAACTTAAGTATCATTGAATTTTTTATAGCGCTATGAATATGCAATATGCATAGTGTAATACCAGCATTAACTGAGCTCATTCTAAAAGCATTCTGGAGACAATTAAAATCAGTGTGAATTTGTTTGAAACGCATCGCAGAATTCAGAGATTTAAGGTTTTTCCTTTAATATCCATAAAACGTCATTCGTCTCATCAAACATTAAGCTCGAGTTTTACACTAACATACATAATAGAGAATATATTGCCAATTTGGGATAAGTATATCTGGACTGAAAATTATGATTTCTCTCACGGTGCAATTAAGTGGAAAGTTCTGAGAGTGTTTTCTATACTAATGTTCGTGCAAAGTTGAATTTCGAGAAGTTTGCAAAAGAGAACTTGTGGTAAATTACATTGCATTTGTTGATTTGTTGATTGCGGAAACCATTTCACTAAAAAGCAATGTATTTACACTGTGATGCGAGTTTGTGGGTGTGATAAAATTATCTACCGCTATCAGAGAGTTTTTTTTTTTAAAAACCAATCCTCTGCGTAAAATGTAGAATTCAAAAGGATAATGATTTGGAAATGCTGAATTAAACGGAAATAAATTGCAAAAAAATTACATGTAGCCTGAAATAATTCAAAACTTGGATTGGGATGCTTTTTGAATTCACAATTCGTAGTTACTTCATTCGGAGTAAAGGAACCTTTAGCATATAAGATCTAATCGGCCAGGGAATTGCCAAATTATATTAGATTAAGCTTACAATGTTGCCCGATATCGGAATAGGATTGGAATGAAGTGCTATATGGAGGTGGAAATTGGTGAGGAAAATTGCTTTCGTTGTACAGAAGACTAGAGCGTAAATTATTACACTCATGAATCGAGAATGAAACTTCCATTGTCCATCATAGTGTTCTAGTCTGACGGATCCATCTCCACTTATCCAGACAATGAATCTTTCTTGATGGATGAGGCCATTAAATTGTATGATTTGAATCATTGACAACTATTATCAATGTCCGGTTGATTATCTCTCTAAAAATAAGTCATCACAGCTACAGCGAAAATCTGTTAAAATTGTCTTTCCTAGATTTCTTTGGTTGCACTAAGTTGTGTATGTGTCTTCATGGAAACTCATTTAAAATTCATAGAACCTTTTCAACATGAAATTTGCGAAAACCAATAGAGAGGTATAGTAAGTGTCTCTTTATATTCATTTTTATCAAATTTAGTTGCAGTTTTTACTTTGAAATAATATTGGTAACATTTTTTTTAAGCCAGAAATATCTCAATGATAATGATCTTTGGTCAGGAAATATATATATATATATATATATATATATGTGTGTGTGTGTGTGT